TATTATGTGGAAACCACCGGCTCGCCACCTTTTAAATCTCCTGATGCTGACGATGTCAAACTACTCTGATCCCTTTCCTCGTGGATGGTTTAAATGAAAAATAAATAGAAACACTGGCTATGATGGCCACCTGGATTTGCTAAACTTAAAAGATAATGCATATCTTATCAAACCTACCTTACTAATCTTTTCTGTAAGCAAAGAGCAATGTATGAAACATCCAGGTTGAACGTTTTTATTTTAAGTCTGCACTGATTGCTGCTTTCATGGGTTGAAATGACGAGTACGGTAATTCTGGGATTAAGCTGATGAAAGGCCGAAAGTAAACCTTGGCTTCACAGGCTGGTCTCTGTATTCAACCAAAGATTGTATGTAAGGGAAATCAGAAAAACAGAGTCCACACAGTTCCCAAAGTCCCAGAAAATTATTCTTTTTTATCTCTATTTGCTCACAAGATAATAATAATTTTAAGAGATTTTGGTTGCTGCATGCAACTCTACAATTCCAAGTACACTGTGTTTTTGCAGTTGAACAAGACCAACAGTGAGTTGTAAATTGTATCAGGAGAAACAATCTGGATGATTGTTACATAAGCAGATTCAATACTGGATTCAGATGAACTGACTAATTGATTCTGTCAGACTCCAGCTGCAGTCCTAAAGTTACAACAGTTCAGTGCTGCTATAAAAATATGGACAGTGTTATCTCTTTCCACATTTGTATAGTCCATCTGTTCTCTATGTCAGTTTCTTGTCTTTCCCCGTCTCTCAGTTTCATCTATTACCTTGCCTGTGAATACACTTATATTTTCTTGTCTTCTATCTTTCTCTGCCTTGTAGCCTGTCTCTGCCTCCCCATTGTTTCTCTGTGATGATGTAGCTCCTTTTTATTCACCAGGGGCTAAAATTGTACATGGAGGACAGCAGGCAGTTTTTGGCAGACAGCCATCTCACTTTTGTTTTCCTGATTTTTTTTGGACCCAGCACCATCAGTCTTCAGCCTGGCTCCAACTGGGTCTAATTGGATGTATTAGCGCTGAGTGCTAGCAGGAGTTCTCTGTGTTTCCGATTCATCATGAGCAGACTTCCTGAATGGCCAGCTCAGCCCAGCGCAGTGGGGGAAAAAAGCCCCAGGGACGGGCTCTCTCCCCTGGAGAGAGGATGAGGAGCGAGCGCCTGTCAGCGGTGGTCTCCTGAGAGTAGCTGCAAAAAATGACACAGCTAGTGTGGAGAGATGGAGAGGGGCCGGCGTTTGCAGACATATGTTTAACTTTGTCAGACCCTCCAGACAGTCTTTGCTAACGTATTCCCAGAGTGTCAGCGCTACAGCTAATAATGGCTGATTCCAATTCATAATTTATCAGCTCTGGTGATCATATTTGCAATTATACACTGACGGCCTGCCATTAAAGGCGAGGTGAACTATTGTTTTTATGTCTAGTTGTTAAAGGGCCTGTAATAAAAGGAGACGCTGGTTTTTACAGCGTTCACAAACGATTTAAAATGCCAATTACACCTCCACAGAGAGAATCCGGCAGATTTATCTTCCGATGCCACTCGTCCAGACATATTGTTATATAGGCTGGTGGGTTTTGCAGCTCAGTCTGTTTAAAGTTTAACAGACCATGTTCCATGGCTTCACTGTTTTGATATAGTGTACCACCGGGCATTCTCGCTGCTGAATTAAATATCAACCAGTGCCCTGCAGACTTGTCAAAGCGATGCTCCCACACATGGTGGCACACCCACGGTACAAAGAAACGCCCTTATAGTGTATACAGACGGAAGGATATTCAGAAAACACACACTCACACTCTCTCAGGAAGTTTAGATGCCTTACATTCCTGTGTATCTGCAGACTCAGCGTCCTGTCTGGACTAACATCCCTCTGCACTGCCTGTAATAGAAATTAGCCTTTTCTATTCTCATCACAAGGGCCCCTCTCCACCCATACTACCTCTAATTGACTTTTACAACAGCCCTGTTTTTAAAAAACGGTGAGCCGTCAGGACAGGAAGGCACTGAGAGCGCTTGGCGGGTGTTTTATGCAGCTGCAGAAAGGTCAGAGTGGGAGATAAACGCCTTGGTCCACCTTCTTTTTTCCCCTCCAATGGTAAATCCTCGTTTATTAAATGGCCCCTGGTGAAGGAAACTATTGGAGAAAATACTGAGACTGCAAACCTGGCTGTGTCCCAATTTCCACATATTATACTATTAGAATACATTATGTATGCTACATATGTCATAATATGCAGGTTTTTTCCATTAGTATAAAATAAGTCAATGTTCATTACTTTTACTGTTTTCCAAGATCTTCCTTTAGCTCTCTCTATCATCCACATCTTGTTTTAGTTGCAGCTGTGAGAAGTTCCTTGTTCCCTTTGTGCATGGTGTTGTGGGACAGCAGTCTCCATCTAAAGAACAAAAAATCAATTCGTCTGCAAACTTATTTTTTACAAGCTTCTTTATCCAAATACAAAAGGCCCTTGTTCAAAACTATGAAATTATTGATATATGAATAAAAGTTTAACTGCAAGAATGACGTGCTATCAGCTAGAACAAACTTGCAGAGAGAACACAAATTATTTTATTTATTATTTTATTTTGGTCCATCTTCAATTTACTCTCAGAAATAACATTAATTAGTGAGAGAATATGACCTACTGCTAGGGACATTTGTCATTTAAAGCGTTGAAATCATCAGTCCTTTTTAAAAATGAGAAGCTGTCAGCTGAATGTTTTGTGCACTGTTCTTTGGTATAAAGAGGAAAAACAACAGATTCGTTACCATTGGTTACCTTAGCGAATTTTGCCAGCCAGGGTGTCAGATCAGTCATGTGGGCAATTAAATAATTTTTACATCCACATACACCCAGAGTACAGTAAAGAAAGGATTGGATTTTAATTGGCCACGCATCGGCTCAGATACCAATACTTCAGATCATCTCCACTTCTGTTATTTTGTATACTGGTTGTTTCTTTGTGTTTATTCTTAAAAGAGAGATCTCAATCTCAACGAGACTACCTGATTAAATAAAGTTTATATGCCTTAGCTTTAAGATTTGCCTTAATTGGGTGACTTGCCCAAACCAGGACAAACAGCTCAAGACACGTCCACATACTTTTTTCAAATAGGTGTAGATATTTGTGGGAAGACTGAAGCAGACAAACTATTAGCATACCTTGTGTTTCAGGTGTCTGTGTGTTCTTGTGAGCACACGTGTGCCTGCAGCTGTGTGGACATCTAACCCCACAGCATTAACCCCCAGCCTAACCTGCACTGCAGTCGGTTTGTCAGCGGGTTCTTTATAGCTGTTACATTTTTTCTGGTCTTAAACTGCTAAGTTGAGTTGTAGTTGTCTTTTTTTCATATTTCAACCAGCATTTTTGTCTAAATTAATGCAAACAGGATGAATCCAGAACTAAACGTGTCTTCCCCTGAGGTCAGAAGCCTCCCAGCCTGCCTCTTGGCACTTTACCCAGAGCTAATTAGGCCTCAAATCTCTCCCACCTCTCCCTTTCATATAACATTATTTATTCCATCCTTGAAATATGCATGTATTAATTGTTCCGCTTAGCTAATCTCTGTAATGGTGTCTGTCTGTGTGTGTGTGTTGAAGGTGAGTGTGTTGGTAATCAGAAACTCAAATGAGAATTCTTCAGCTACGATGACGATGCAAAGCCACACATCAAAGCCATCACAGACACAATATTGTCGACCTTGAGCCAAAATGGCAACACGCCCCTCCCTCCGCCCTTTCGAATGAACTATTAGGTTCACTGAACTGTGAATTTTGTGGCTGACCTCATTATGATTATTGTTTCATCTGTACTGCAGATTGCAACCGGCGTCGCAGTAATGGTGCCGCTTAATTAAAGTGACACACAAGAAGGTTAGCAGTTAAAGCCGCACTCACGGAGCAAGTCTTCCTCTTCCTGCTGTGCCACAGATCGCCAGAGAACATGGCCTCTCTCTCTCTCTCCCCTTTCCCCTCCTGTGCTCGGTCACTCTTGTCTGTGGGGTCACCTCTGATGTGCTGGCTAAGCAGTAATGTCTTTATTGGATCTAAGCCGACCCCGGGTTCACCACAGAGCCCCAGACCTGGCACAGAGAGCTGTATCAACACTTGGAGATTCCTCAACCCTTCAGGCTAAAACACTACAGGGCTCTTCAAATAAACCATGAAGGTCTGTGCCAGGAAAGAAAGAAAAAACACAACAACAACAAGAATCTCTCCTTTCAGCTGAATGGAGAGAGAGGAGGAAGGGATCCCACAGTGCTGTGATGAAGGAGAGGGAGTAGGATGAGAGTGAGGGAGGATAGTTGAAGAAAGAGAGAGAAAAAAGGGCGTTATGAAGGAGAGAGGGGGTATGAAGGAGAGGAAGGGAGGCAGAAAGAGAAGGGGAGTCTTTGAGAGAGAGGGGTTATTCAGTTGATGCCTTTATCCTGTGTTCCTGAGGCATCCAGATCAGCTCTGGCGGCTTAGCCTCGTCATTAACAGCTTTAGATTTAATTAGCCGTCATTAAGCCTCTGTTTTACTGGAGGAGCTTACAAATATTTAATCACTGTTTGGGTGATGTACCGTGTATAGTGTTGTTTGTGTGAGAGTTGAGGCAGGAACAATTTACCGAAAGCCTGATTTAGTCATTTTTCAGTTATTTATTATGCATGTACAGCAGGTCTGAGGTCACAGAGGTTTCTAACGCTGGACATTACAGTCTTTATTTTATCAACCTCTTTTTTTGAGACTTTGTGATTGATCGTTTGAAAGAAACTTATCATACAGTTACTTATTTAACCTTCAGTTTATTCCGGTCCCAGACAGGGATGTTTAAAACTGGGTGTAAAGTTGCTCTTTTAACATATTTGCTTGTTTTAGCTATGTTTTTGTCTAACTCTTGTACATTTTCAATAATGTTTATTAATGTGCACTGTCTTCATTGATTAAACTACACACATTGCTGACAACAGAGTCCTCCTCCTCTGCTGTCCCCTGCAGGCTGTGCTTGGAGGCAAGGGACCCCTACTGTGGCTGGGACTTCAGGCAGCGCAGATGCACCACACTGGAGGACAGCTCCAATATGAGTCAGTGGAAGCAGAACATCACTGTTTGTCCGGTAAGAGTTACGTCACTGCACCATTTACTGTAAGAAAGGTTTACATACCGTCATGTCTGTCCTCATGGGGCTGTAAGACTCTCACATGTCATAGCTGACATCATTCATGACTTGAAGTGTTTGTTGTACAAGCCAGGGAAGGACATAGCGCTAGTAGAGGAAGAAAGCTAGGTGAATTGGACTGAACTGAACTGACTTGCAGTAAATGTATTTCTCTATAATTCTCTCAAAACACTCACTCTTTATCTTGGAAGCAACAGTCCTGTCTAGATGCATTCAAAGTATTTAGGTGGTTGAATAACCAAGGCTAATGTTTCCTGACCTGATCTAACTCTTGTCACGGCTGATGTTTGCTTTCCAGCTGCGGAACCAAACCACCAATGGTGGCTTCGGACCCTGGGCGCCATGGCAACCATGCAACAATGATGATGGTGTGGATGGTGTGAGCTCCTGTTTGTGTCGCTCAAGGTCTTGTGACAGCCCTGCCCCTCGATGCGGAGGCAAAAACTGTGAGGGCCCCACCATTGAAGTCTCCAACTGCTCGAGGTATGGAAAGAAAATTGATTGATTGATTTTTACATTGATGATGATAAAGACTAAATCTCCACATAACATCAGTGCATCTAAATCTGCCCTTTTGTTACATACAACAAAACACACAAATGAAATGCTGTCCAGAAACTGAGCCCATTTAGACATTCCAAACAAGAACCAGGACAACAGAGCAAATTAAATCCTCTTCCTAAATCTTTACAGAATAGATTCTAACGTGCTGTGTCTAGTTTATAAATTACTTAGCAGCCCTGGGGCAAAATACATTTCTGATATGCGTGAAGAATATAAACCCAATAGGTCCCTTAGATCTTTAGGAGCATCAGTCTGTGGTACTTTCGGTCAGAACCAAAACACAGTGAAGCTTCTTTTAGTGCCTACAAGATTTTTTAATTTCTCTCATGTACCCCCCCCCCCCCCCCCCCACATTACATTTTTTACTTTACTGTATTCCTATTTCTTGGTTTATTTTATTATTCAATGCTTTGTTGGGTATTATTTAATTTGTTATTAATGTGATTTACCTGTTGCTCTAATGTATTTCTTTTCATTATGTAGAGTACTTCTCTGTGTGTGAAAGGTGCTTTACAAACAAATAAGCGTGCTTTGCCTAAAACTAAGCCAAAGCTGTGGATTCACACTATATTAGCTTCAAAATATTATATAATCTATCTATTAATAATAAGATCGATGTATTCTGGCCCTGTACACTAAACATTGTCAAGTTGAAATTATTCCAGTGCTATGATTGAGCACATTAAGCCTGTCATTTTGCAAATGAGTCTCGTCCAGGATCAGGAGCCTTTTATTTGATGAGAGACAGGAAAAGGGGGGAAGAGGAGAGGGGCACGCATGCAGCAACAGGGCCACAGGTCCAGACTCGACCCGGGCCGTCTGCGTATATGGGTCACCAGCTCTACCAACTGAGCTAACCAGGCACCCATAACATCTTTTCTTAAACTCTGCTCTTGTAGCAGCAATGTCCTCACTGACTTTGAAGCATCCACCTCAGGGCACAATTTACACGCTGACAGAACATGAGGAAGATCATGAACGTGAGGAATCTTATTAGAAAATGTAGGTGACGTCCAGATTCTCCTTGTGACACCTCTCAGTGCCTCAGTCTGCAGGGGAATAGGCCAATCAGCATTACAGAGGACAGAGCAGAGACAAAGAGCACAGGCACCTTCATCCCACTGGATAGCTATGCCAGATTTAATCCTTGGTGTCAAAATTGAATTGTGCTTTTGCAGAAAGTGGCAATTAAATCATGAGAAGTGCTACCCAGGAACAAAGCACTTAAGCAAATTGAATGAATGTTTCCCAGTCAGAATGAGCTCCCTGTGTGTTTGCATTTCAGTTTTCAGAAGCTCAGAATCAAAGTAATGATTAGACAAAGCTAAAAAGCGGTTTCTTTTTTTCCCCCTTTAGCATTAGAGAACACCCTGTGAAAGAATAACACTAAAAGCTCTGGCGAATAATTATGTAGGATTTTGGAAGTATTGGGAAATAGGTTGCTAATACTTTTTTCATGTGTCTGTTGCCATAGAAATGGAGGCTGGACGCCCTGGTCGTCATGGGGACAGTGCAGCACAACCTGTGGTACAGGCTTCGAGCTGCGCCAGCGTTCATGTAACAACCCCTCACCCCGACATGGTGGCCGTGTGTGTGTGGGGCCGAGCAGGGATGAGAGGTAACCACATGTGTTAGTCGCTTTGATACTCTGAAGACTTTCTTTATCTATTTTTATTATTATTATTACATCATTTCCCACTGAGAGCACCTGTGCTGAAAACATATGCAAACTGTTTTACCTGTTTTAGGTGTTCTGAGACAGATCAAAGTAATTATATAAATAAATTATATCTAAAACCTATGCTGGGGCACAGAAGTGAACAAATGACCAATAATGTCATTGTTCTGATGATGGATGTTAGTTTTATAGTTGTGTGCCTTTTGACAAGGTCAAAAGTTGAGAGACAATTAAGTCCCAATTATGTCCAAGTCTCAATTCATAATTTTTGTGACTTAAAGGATCAGTGTGTAGAATTTTGTCGTATTTAATGATGAAGTTGCAGCCATTGTTTGGTTTGTCCGTTCTGGGCTACTGTAGAAACACTGTGGTTCAACATGATGGTCTCCATGGAAGGCGACCCACAGGGTCTGTAGATAACAATGTCTTATTCCAAGGTTGCAAAAACACAACAATTCCTGTATTCAAGTGATTATACACTAATAAAAACATACCTAATAAATATTATATTCCATTTCTGCCAATATATCCTCCTAAATGTTACACACTGGACCTTTAAGTCAGACTCCAGTCCAAATCTCAAGTCTACAGCTCTCACTGCAACTGTATTTTTCTTACAATTAATTCTCTCAAAATTCCACACCTCCTCTCCCACCACTGCCATCTCCACAGGTTCTGCAATGAAGGAGTGTCCTGTCCTCAGCCTATCTTCTGGTCCCCGTGGAGCTCCTGGACAAAGTGCAGCACAGAATGCGGGGGAGGCGTCCACTCCAGGGTCCGCACCTGTGAGAATGGCAACAGCTGCCCAGGATGTGCACTGGTAGGAAACACACACACACACAGAGAAACAAACAAAGACATAGCAGAACATCTGTCAACCTCAGTAGAATCTGTCTCCCTGCCTCTATGATAAAGCCTGTAGGCTTGTAAGCAGACATTTATTAGTTTAAGGACAAATGAATAGTTTTTTGAACAGAGACACACTGTTGCTGTAGCTTTGTCATCTTCACATGTTTAACTGTGTGTATTGCTGAACTGTGACCCTTAAATGAAGTGAGGGCAAAATCATTAAAGAGGTGAGCAGGTGATGATGACAGCAGAGAGAAATACATGCACGCTTATAATTTTCTCTTCTGACCTTGAACGGCTCAGCTGGAGTGAGTACAATGACGGAATGTTTCCATCCTTGACATCAAAACAAAATGTCACATTTCTTTGTCAATGTGTGACCACCTGGAGTTCAGTTTGTAACAGAAATATCACTGTTTCAGTGTCTCCATGCACATAATACATACAGTTGTGGATATTATAGAAACAGAACAATATATATCTGTCTTTGCCATCTTACCTAGAGTCAGAGATTGACATAAAATTATTTCATTTGAAGATTGATATCAAAATTTCAAAAATGTATGGGCAGTTTTGTTTTAGATGTTTGTGTTTACTAAAGACTTCTAATTATCCTAGTGATCCCTGGATCTTCCCACTGCCGCCACCATGAGGCAATAATTTCCATGTGTGCACGAGAATGTCAAAATCTAGAAGACTGCCGGAGGGTGCACTCTTTAGATTTTTTTTTAACCCCCTGACCTTTTCTCAAGTACCACCCTGAGGACAAACACTGCTGGTTAGCAAAATAATTAGCACATTGTTTTGTTCTTTTATCCTAACGTGGAGTTGTGGGATGTAATTAACAATGCAACTTCTAGAATCTACTAGCAAGGCTTTACACATTTAGCATTTTAAATTATGACTAAAACTTTCCCCACTGCTCCCCTAACTTCTCATTCAGGAGTATAAGGCCTGTAACCTGGAGGTGTGTCCAGAGGTAAAGAGGAACACACCTTGGACCCCCTGGATGCCCGTCAATGTGACTCAGGGCGGAGCTCGTCAGGAGCAGAGGATGCGCTACATGTGCCGGGCCCACCTGTCTGATCCCCACGAGCTGCAGATCGGACGCAGGAAGGTGGAGACACGCTTCTGTCCCAATGATGGTACAGCAGCCTGTGAGACCGATAGTAAGTTAACCAGCCGTCAGACACAGTGATGTGGTCCGGTATCTGGATGTGGGGAAATAAAATAAATTCTACATTCAAGGGCAAATCTACTCTAAAATATAATTCACATATTGGTATGATATCTAAGAAGTTGTTCGTCTCAGATGATGTTGTCCAGAGACAAACCTGGAGCTTCGCTATAGACAAGTGTGACTATGACAGCAACAATAGTGTAGTTTTCTTAATAACAATAAAGTAACACCAACAAGTTCTGTTGTCCCATCTTTAGAATATACATTAATTCATGAATTGCTATCAAATGATGGGACCCTCGTCATAAGACCCCTTAAACGGTGTCTCCCACACACCACATTTGGTGGTCACTTCTACCTGACAACTAGTAACCTTCACTTGTTGTAACTGAACTTACTGTAACTGTCTCTGTTATCACCATCAATTGTTATTTTTTATGATTGTGTGTGCTTGAGTGGCCATGGTGTGTGTCTGATGTTTTCATTTATTCTTTAGTTTTAGGGACTCCTTGGGGTGATGCTGCACTATAAATAAACTGACATTAAAGTGAAAATGTAACTTGATGACACTGACTATTAAGCAAGTTTTAAGTGTTTAAAGAAAATAAAATGTGTGAAAAGACAAAAGGTCTGAGCAGATTGTTTTAGTGTTTGCATTGGGAAATGTCAATAGGATGTTAATCTGAAGTCTGTATCTATGTGAACACAGAGACGCATACAGTATTGCACAGACATTACCACACACAAATATTCTCACTCCTGTATTTGAACACAGTGAGGAGGCAGCAGTACGCTAAGATTTCTTCCAGTCAGAGCCTGACATGTTGAAAGGGTTCCCCTGTTAGACCTGTTAGTTCCCCTACATGCTGTTAGTGACGGGGTCGCAGTCCAGCACGCCCACATACACACTGAGACAGAGAGAGCTACACAGGGTCACAGTCCACTGCTCCCCACTCGTGACTTTTTCATACCCCCCTCTCCTGAATCGATTACCTGTCTCCCCCTGTCAGCCTCCTGGGGGGGCCGCATCGACTCTGACAAACAGATGAAGCCTCGACAGCAGGGAACTGTGGAATGCATGAGACACAAAGTTTGAGAGAAGGACAAGCATAGAAATATGTCTGCTGGCAAAGTCATATACACTCAAAGAAGCTTCATATCTGTCATTAAATACTTTAAATGCTCTATCTGACAGCACTGCATATATTTCTGTGACTTTAATCTAACCTGGACCTGTACAATTTCTTTTTTCCCCCACTCTAATTGCTCTCTTAGCACTTGTCGAGGAGCTCCTGAAGACACCGGTGGTGAGAGTGGCAGGTGCTGGCTGGTCGTCATGGGAGACCTGGTCAAGCTGCTCACAGAGTTGTGCCAAAGGCTACCGCACTCGTCGGCGAACCTGCGCAGGACCAGAAGGGAAGAGCGCCCCCGTTGCATGCCGTGGCTCACCTGTGGAGTACCAGGACTGCAACGTCCAGGCATGTCCTGGTGAGTAAATACACACCAAAAACCATGTCTACATGACTGATTGCACTCATACTTACTTACTTTATTATGTTGTGAAAAAGAAAAAAGGCGAGAATCCGATCAGAATACAAAAATCTGATTTTAAAAACACCACTTGCACAGCAAACACTATTTGTTAATTTTCTATTATCTGAAGTATATTCTGAGATATGCTTGACACAGGATGACCTTGTTTACTGTAAACTGTGGTGTCATCTGAAAGCAGAAAGCATGACAGTTGTTATGTATTGAGGCATAAACATGGAATGGCATTTAAGTAAATATAAAAATAAATAAATAAATACATAAATAAATATGCCTATGAAATAAATACAGTAAAAGAGGCAGTATATAAATAAATGTAGACATAAATATGTAAATTAGTTTCATCAGGTTTTTGAATAACCAACCAAAGTGTGCACAGAAGGTCAATTATGTCATCCCAACAGTCTTTCCAAAACGACTTGAATACAGGAAGTTACAAACACAGTCAGTTATTGGCCTTTTTCTAACTTCTTCAGTATATAATGGGTTCATAAAGAAAAGACATGCACACTGAGAGACCGAGATAGAGACAGAGAGCGAGGGAGGTCAATGGTGGTAGTAAAATACTGCTGAGTGGATCATTAGCTTCATTAGCTAATGGTTACCAGCAGCTATGGCAGTGCGGGGAGAGTCCTTGGACAAATGAAGTTATCTATTTCAAACTCCTCATCAAACCATAATCAGCTGACCTAGAACTCTGTGGCCACAGACTGACAGACTGCACTTATTAAACCAGACTGAGGACAGGCATACACACATACAATGGCTGGCATTAGAAAAAGGTCTGTACTCCTCTGAAGAGCTCAACTTAAATATTCATGATTTGTACCTTATGAATTAATGAATTATGATAGGTTGGTACAGAGCTGATCATATTCCTGTAGTGTATTTAAATGTCAGTTGTTGGTATTCACATCCTTAGCAATTAGCTTAGCACCTGACATATGTAACCTAAGGATACCCAGAAGAGGCAGCCTTGGTTACGTCCCCCTGGAAGCTAGCCAATCAGAAAGCCTTTTGCCATGAGTGTCACGTGTACAGCTGGTCTCACCGCGCCTGTCCCGGGTAGAAACGTAGGTGAGAAGGACAAGGCCACTGACAAAAAAGAGAATGAGTGCAAAATAGTAATTGATGATGAGATTAGAGAGAAGGATGGAGGCAATATAGATTGCTGAGAAGATTGAAATGAATAGTGTGCTACTGTGTGTGTGTGCGTGGAGAAAGGTGGCGTGTGTATGAGAGAGAGAAAAGGCAGGCAGCCAGTGGGTCACAGTTAGCCTGAGTTTAATTATGAGTTTCATTATAAGAACTTCTGATCTTAAAACAGTCCTTTAAGATAAGTTTGTAGTCCAAAACCAAAATTCCCAGCATCACAATGAATGTAATTCATCCAGTTCAAATTAAAGTTTATGGTATTCGTGAGTTGTGAGCAGCCAAACAGACACATGGAGGTTGGGAATGGCACATTTCACACTTTCTGACTTGATATTTCTGAACATGAATGAAGCAGGTCAGCACACACAGGAGGACAGGCAGACAGAAAGTCATAAACTGTACATCCGTCAGGTAGTCGGTGGGTCATTGAGTGACTGAGTGAGTCAGACTCAGCCGGTCAGCCAGGTAAACAGCAGCCAGTTAGTCAGAGAGTCAGTCAGGCAGAGCGGTTGCTGGCTGTGAGAGCTAGTCAGAGTTAAGTGGTCACAGCCTGCTTCACTCTCAGTGTCACACTAATCCACTCAGCTAATAGAGTTTTCTGCAGCACTGTGACGTTACCTGGCAACGCCGCCTCTCTGTCAGTCAGACGGACATCAGCCAGTCAACCAGCCAGTTAGTCAGTCACGCTCTTCTGATTAGATGAGATGAAACATTAACAGTCCCCATGGGGAGACTAAATCAATGCAACAGGAAGACAGGACGAACCAAAGACAAAGTAGGATATGATCAGGATGAGAGTAAAACCCCAAATAGACAATTATTTTACAGTAGAACATAGGAAGTCAGAAAGTATATATCAAATATTGCATGTATGTAGTGTGTGCAACAGTAGGAAAATATGTATAATGTGAAAAATATGAAATAACATTTCACATGAGAAGTACGGGTATGAGAAGAACAGACAAGACCTCCCTTTCTCTGATGTAGTTGTTAGTCCTCCTGAGGACATCTCAACCAGCTGGGCTCCAACAGGTTGGGTATAGCCTATGTTACTAAGATATATCTAGCCTTGTGATGAAAGTCTGCACATGGTCTAAATATTAAAAAACAGATTTGGTTCAACAGGTAAACATTCCATTTCAAGGCTAAAACATATTTTAAATGCAGCCTTGGGATACATCCAGCTGGTGCAACTCACCCCTGGGGTCCACAGATAAACACAAAAAACACAGAACAAATATACTAGCAGTGTGTGTGT